GAGACAAGTTAAGTAAAAAGAATAAGACATATATATATATATATATATATATATATATACCAAAAGGAATTATGGGTAAAAACTAGAGCAAACATTTACTAAGTCAGCTAGCTATGTTGACAGGTTTGATAGAGTGGCACATCCCGGGAAATTTATGACACGAAATGCCAAAGGGTTATCACTCTGTTAGAAATGATTGCGGTTACCATAGTCACAATGTAAAGAGCTTCAAACGTTAAACGTCAATAATTCACGGGTCCATGAAATATTTTTTTTTCCAAACTTCTTGCGGAAATATCAAAGATGTAGACATTTATTTAACCTCAAGCTTCTTGTCAAGAAGTTTTCTAATTAGACTGTACGGAACTCTTTTCCACGTTAGTAATAATTGGATTACTTTTCTACAGAGAGTTTACATGCAAGAGGCAGAGAGAAGGTTACAGTGCAAACAGGCTAACCACAGAATGAAAGCTCCACTTAAAAAAATTGTTTGTTTGTTTGTAATTAAGTACAAAGCTGCACAATGGACTAACGATGCTCTGCCCACCAGGGGTATTAAAATCCGGTTTTTAGCGTTGTAAGTCCGCAGACATCCCGCTGTGCCACTTAAAGAGTCAGAGGTGTAGTACACAATATTAAGAAATTTAGCTGATAACTTTATAACTTCAGCGGATGAAGTTTGTTGAAATTTACATTTCGAATGTCTGATTCTTTTATAACTCCCTTAGTATTGTCAACTATGTGACGATATGAAGACAGCAAAATGAGATTCGGTCGAAGTTGAAATGGCGCATCTTTAAAGCAAGAACCCACTCTAAAACTTAAAAGATTGCACCTGATGACATTCGAAATATATTTGATAATATATCTGTGTGTGTGTGTGGACAAGCCTACTTATAACTGACGAACCAATGGACCGATTGTCACCAAATGTAGCGTGTAACCTTAAGCCTCCCCATCCCGAAGCGACATAGAGGGGTAAGTGTTGAGATTTGATCCCTCCCCCATTCCACACTTCCCAGGGGCGTCTATGAATTCCTCATACGTTAGTCAGTATTAATTGATTTAATAGTATAACAACACAATACCCGTAAAACATAGAACATAAAAAACAACAATAAAAAATAAACAACCCAAAATCAATTCATTGTGGTGACTTCGAAGATAAATTTATCGTTGAACTAAATATCAATCTTGGGATATTTTGTAGTGGCACGTGGAATTATCATTTTCTTTCGGGATTAATAACTGGTTTGTTCGATAATCTTCATATAACTTATGTATGCATTTTTTTTTCTTATTCGTTTTCCTAATCGTGTATTTATTTTAGCGCAAACGGCACAATGGATCCGTGTGCACCGTCTCCGCTGCGGGGACCAAATCGCGAATTGTAGCATTATAAGCCCTCAGGCTTACCGCCGAGCCATCAGGTACCACTTCGTCGTAACTTTCAATAAAATTACGCTAAATACTAAATTACATTATTAACACACACACACACACAGACAAATACGTACCTGTATATCAAGGCCTAACGCCAGGCCATTTTACCAGATAAATAATAAGCCGTTTAACTCTCCAGGGGCAGAGCTCGGGTGTATGGTATCGGGTATATGTTAAAAAGTTAAAATAAGAGATTTTTTAAAATGAAAAATGAAAAACGAATTCTCCATAGGTTCGTTTTGTTTATAGTTAAGCACAAAGCTACAAAATGGGCTATCTGTGCTGTGCCCACCACGGGTATCGAAACTCGGATTTTAGCGTTATAAGTCCACAGATTTACCGCTGTGTCGCTCGGGGACAAATTCTTTGTAGGCTCAGAGGCGATTTAAACTTATTTTACATTCTAAAGAGTACTACACAGTGATAAACAGTTAAACAGATAAACACTTTTAAAAACAGGCAGAGACGTTTGTTTTCCAGTAATACTTAAAAAAAAGAGCAAAAAACAATAAAATAAAAGCATAACAAGAGCTACGTCACTTAACCCTGTTGCTATGGTTACATGTTATAACAGGTAGCGATAGCCTTATAGGCGAAACAGTTGCTTAAAACAAGCGGACTTATTAAAGATTACGAGTTTGACACATAAAACTAGAAACAAACAACAAAAAAGTTTGGGCAAAATATCTGTCATATAAATCGTTAATGCGAACTAGAGGTCAGAGTAGAAGCTGATATATATATATATATATATATAGAGAGAGAGAGAGGGAGTTCCTTTTGAGCCTTTGACTCTGACTGATTCTACATACAGGATTCAAAATTGGTACGTTAGCTTTGGTCATGTAGAAACACACATCCATAACAGCTGTAATAATAAGAAGAATATCAAATCTCTCACCTGAATGAAGAACTACATCAGCGGCACTAAGAACGAAGCAAAACAGTAAAGAAGGTCTGAACATGTTGTCTAAGGTGACTGCTTATTTTCTTAAACCTTTATATATATATAAAACCAAATCTGAGCAGATTTGTTGAATCGGTCAGCAAAGCGTAAAGTTGGAAGGTTGGAGTTTTTGTGTCTTCGCTGTGATCACATCTACGTTAGAAGCTTTGCTGCAGTGCTTCCTGTTCTCTACTTCTCAGCCAGAATTGACGGACTAGTCGATCGAATGCCGATGACGTCACGAAGATCAATAATCCGGGGACTTTGAGCACGTGCAGCACGAGCTCATTAAGTGCTTATTGACGACGTTCATTTCAAATTTCTTTTTTTTTTGCATCATACATTTTTTTTTTCAAGTCTATTTGTTAACTATAAAATAAAATCATGCTCAAAACTAGCGCAACAAATATCGTGTTGACTGCACAATCTAATAACAGCCCGTAACTATTAGTTACGTAACATTTAAATTTCGTCATTTAGACATAGGAAAGCTTTCACTAGCTAAGGGTGGTGTGGCGATTTTAAGTTCATTTAAAAGTATTTTAGATAAACAAGTTCTATTATTTTTATCTAGATAACTAGGAGGAATTGGTGTTTAACAGACACACACAAAAGTTAACAGTTAACAATGCATTGCTGCTTTTATTAACACGTAGAGATAGTTTGTTTGTAATTAAGCACAAAGCTACACGAAGGGCTATCTGTGCTCTGCCCATCACGGGCATCGAAACCCGGTTTCTAGCGTTGTAAGTCCGCAGACATAACGCCGTGCCACTTGGGGGGGAGGGGGTAAAAGAGATAGAAAAAGAGATATTTCTTTAAAATAACTTAATATTGACTGTACTACATTGAATATAATTATTAATAAATAAGACGGCCATGAAATCCAGAAAATCTTGTAAAGAATGTTTATTCGCGCAACGTTTCGGTTACGCCTTCACCAAGAGCAGAAAATTACAGAAAATCTGATGGTGTAAAGTCGAAACGTTGAGCAAATGAATAAAAAAAAAAAACCTTCAAAGATTCTCTGGAGTTCATCGTCGTTTCGTTTACGGATAGGCAATAAATAATCTATTATCAAAACCGTAAACACAAAAAATTCAATAGTTAGTAATATATATTAAATATATTGTTGCAACTATAAAATATACAAAACAAAAAATAGTTACCAATATATATATATTGCTGTATCTTGTTTGTTTGTAGTTAAGCACAAAGCTACACAATGGGCCAACAACAACGTATCTGCTCCACAGTCCGGCACGCTAATAACTCTAGTGATTAATATCTAATAATAAAAAATTAATTAATAATTACAGTTAGATGATCAAGATGATTAAGCACAATAATATACAATGGGCTATCTGTGCTGTACCCACCACGGGTATCGAAACCTGGATTCTAGCGTTATAAGACGGTAGATTTATCGCTGTGCCACTGGGGGTGAGGGGGCATTGTTGTATCTATAACTACGCAAAAAATAAAAAAGCAGATAATCTCTTCCATATTTAATATTAAAAAAAAAGGCTAAACACAATAAGATTTCAATGGGAATTAACTCTCTCTCTCTCTCCAGAAATCTTCTTTTGGCTAAAGAACAACGATATATATTGTTCATTAGCTGAAAACGTGCAAAGCTACTCGAGGGCTATTTGGCCTAGCCGTCCTTATTAATATAAGTCATTTGTTACACCAATAATTATTAATAGTGTGAACGTCTTTTCTAAGCCGGTGAAGTATTATTATAATTAATTATACGTTTCATAAGGCCTCAGTATTAGGCCTATTACGTTTTTAACCTTCATTCTTTATTTAAGTCCTTAAGGTTTTTTAGTTTTTCAAGAAGAAGAAGAAGAAGAAGAGTGTATAATAGTATTTCAACCAGACTATGTCCACCATATCTATGTCCATCATTCAGGCTTATATAAATAGTTTTCCAGCTACTACTGTGTTTGGTTTATTGTAGCCGTATTGACGTTGATGACGGGTATGTTGGACACAGTGTGGTTGAGATATTATTAAACATTCTTCTGTTGCACCCGAATAGCTAAGCGATAAGTCTTGGGGCTTATAACGCTAAAGGTCGGGTTTCGATACCCGTGTTGGGTACAGCACAGATAGCTCATTGCGTGGCTCTGTGCTTAACAGTAAACAAACAAACACTTCTACTTGAAAAAGCTCTAAGGGAAGGATATAGGATATTTTCCCAATGATATGAAGAAGGTTATGGATTGGATATATATGTGTTCTAAGGAATAAGGATATATGTGTTCTAAGGAATAAGGATATATATGTGTTCTAAGGAATAAGGATATATATATGTGTT